GATCTGTCGAATTACGGATGAAATTTGTATGGGGGATGCGATAAGTGTTGTAAATAAATATGAGTGTATATAAAGCTTGGGTAATTTCCACTGCGATTTCACTTTTTTTTTTTGTTATGGTTTTTATGGAAATTGATTTACTTGCAGGTAGAGGAAACAAGAGGTGTCTTGGTGTGAATTTCCATGATTCACATCACGATACCAGACACCCAAACTCTTACGGAGGTTGATGGTGGTCGCAAATATGAAGTACTATTTTTGCTGTCCTGACCTTTATCAAAAATTATTAAATTTGGTGGTTCTTTTAAGAGGGGTTTTGTTTCATTACAGTAATCTAATTTGTCGACTTGACATTACGCTAGAAAATTATTTCTTTCAAGTAGATATTGGAAGTTATTGGGATTAAAGTAGCCCAATTTTGAGCCATTAAATTTTTTCTGTGGGAGAGCAGTTGTTAATAGATTTGAATGGAGTTTTGGTAATTAGTTTTGGATACGATGTTTTACACTGTTTTGTAAGAGAACGTCTGAAACTAGATCAGGTCGAACATTTAGCTTTTGGAATTTGGCTGAGAAGGAAGAAGTTCTAGATCAATATTTTGAAGCGCAAAGGTAGCTTGAATAGTTAGGGTGATTTTATCTGTAGATAAGCATAATAGTTTGTTATGAAAAAAAAAACCTATTTTTAGTCACTTCTAGATTTTTTTTCGTTTTTTTTCGAAGCTATTGGTTAAATTATTATTCTTCAGAGACGAGCACTTAGATGTTTAGGGCACTACCCTAATTTACTTTTTACAGCATGTTTTGCGGTTCTAAATGAATTTCAGGCTTATAACCTTCATGTCAATGGTGCATACCACGCAAGCGTCCGATATTCAAAATTGTTACGCTTTCATGGGAAACTGCATGAGCATTTTGGATCTGATTTGAAACTCGCGGAGTTTCCAGCAAAAAAATTTTTTAGAAATTTGGATAAAAACGCAATTAAAGAAAGAAGACTAGGACTCGCCGCGTATTTTCAAAGCCGTAAGTTAATTATAAGTAAATTTGCAAATGGAAAAGTGCTTAAAGTTTTTATTTTCCCATGCAAACAGTAATGCAGTCTACAGGTAAATATTAGCTTTGCTGTAATCACTCGCTGTTGTTTCCTAACGTTTACTGTAGATTTTTGACTTTGCTTGAAACCATTGAAGTTTTTAATTTTTGTTAAACTGCTCGGAAAAGAGTAATTTAATTTTTTTAAAAAGATATAGTTTGTACTCGTGAAAAGTTTGAAATCAGTCGTTCTTTATATGAAGAGCTCTTATCGTAATGCTTTTTAGTTGTTCAGCAGCCAGCTGTTGCACAGCATTACATAACGGAATGTTATTTTCTGTCTTTCCAAGTGGTAAGCAGTTAATTATCAATTTTCTTCTCTTTCATTCCAAACGATATTTACTGTTTTATCGTGCCACTTATACTTAACTTTATTTTGTTTCTTTCTTTAAGGTCACAGTTCTAGTTTATCGCATTGTGTTTGACATTCGGTATTTTCCTAGGATTCCTTTCGCCCTTCTTCTAACAAAGTGCTTATTGATATTTCTCTACCGGACGGCTCTTCTAAAACAATACGCTGCAGCGTTCAGCATTCTCCTGAAATAGTTCTCAAGGTTTCTTTTCAAGTCGTTTAACTTAATCATTTACTTTGCTTGTCAGTTTTGGTGAAAGTTAATCAGTAATAAATTCCTAGCCCGCGCATCATTTTGGTATCTCGTGCAGCTTTGTCACACTTCGTGTTGGCAATAAATCCCAGATATTTTGTTAGAAGAAACTTTTTTTCCCGAATATTAAGAATACTTTGGACTTCAGCGTTTTGCGGAGGACTTTGGTATTGAACGAAGTCATGCTGAAAAGTTTGGTTTATTTATTGCTAGGAAAAGAGGATATAGTGGCGGGAGTCAGTTAATGGCTATTGGTTCAGAGGAGGAGTATCCGGACTTTCTGTGTAAAAAACTAGACTGTTTACCAATCATTTTTGTGACAGTTTATCTTTATACAAAATATTTTTATTGCAGAGTGTCACTTATTTGAAAAATTTGGATTTTTTGATTTTTTTATTTCATGTTTAACCTTGTTTTTTTATCCAGTAGATCTTCCTTAATTTAATACCAGATTTTACTGCAGGTGTTCGACTTCTTCGGAATTTTGAATCTCCATATGTTTCTTTACAATTGTTAAACCGAAAATCTGCTCCATCTGGTGTTTTTTATTGCTTACTTATAAGGAAACTAGTTTGGGATCCAAAAGTTGAAATTACTCTTTTCAACGATCCTGGAGCAGTATTACTTCTCTATAAGCAAGTACGTGTTTGTGAAATGTGTTTCTGTTTCTCGTTTAAGGGTGCTTGAAATACCCTTGCACTTTATTTCATATTCCCATTGCCTAGTTAAATTTCAAGTAAGAAACCGTAGAAAAGCAAAGGTTGTTTTTAAGGCTGTTTGTGAGTTACGCAATGGCAAAATAAACCCTCTCCACGAGTCAGAAATGAATGAGCTCATCGAGGCAGAAAAAAAAGGAGCTTCTGCTCAGGTTTCATAAATAATATTTGCTTTTTTTTTACACTTTGCTATTCTTCTGTGTTATTGGTCCATAAATGATGGTAATAATTAAAGTTTTTAAGAAAGTGGCATGATTATTAAGGGGATTTTTTTAGGTATAAAGCGTGTAGGTCGCCCTGCAGTTGTAAGAAGTAATTTTCTCGTCTAAATTATTACAGCTATTTTAAACGACGTATTTATGAATAAAGCTAATTAATTCTACACAAAAAAAGCTAGATTTGAATAAGACAGTGTACAACTTTTGATATTTCAAAGTGGTATTAACTGTTTGAACTAGTTTCTATAGTGGGATATGTTTGAAAATTTTTTATCGGTGCCCATGTGAACAAAAGATTTTAATTCTTGGACTGTTTCGGAGATCCTCCCAGTTCTCTTCGAAAGTGGGTTTTAAATTTTAGTTTTTGCGGTTATGTTATAACCAACCAACTTACGGATATGAATGTCTGGAAGACTGTGTTAGTGATTATCCGGCTGTCGATACACACTGTCACTTAAAAGTTGGGAGGAGATGCATTGTCTTAGATTACGCTGATTTGAATAATTTGGTGAGTTTTTACCCTAATATGTTTACTTTTTGTTTATATCTTATTGTTTATATACCTATAATAAAAAAAAGGAAACTTTCTGCAGAATTAAGTTTTTAGCATGATTTAGTTCAATATAATATGACCAGCTTTCTCCTCCTGCCACTTCTGTCAAAAACTTTGACTTGCTCATGGTTTAGTCTGATTCTCCTATCCGTTCTTCTTCTTGCTCCTCAGTTGCTTTAATTCAGTCCTTTTAACAATGAAAGTCACATACGAATGCTCTTAGTTAAAATTGATTCAATTCCCATTTTCTGTGTTGTTGATTATCACCCGCATCTCTACTTTCGTATCGCAAAAGAAATAAAATTTTATTGGAACCTGCTTAAATTTGTCTTTCAGTCAACTGAAACTCCTCGTGCTGCAAAGAAACCTGGAGTTGTTTAGTTTAATACTACCAGAATCCAACTTTAAAAATTTTTTCCACTGATTTTTTTTATTGTTTTTTTCCATCGTTAGACATTATTTGGCTATAATATGTAGCCCGACCACGTTACGCCTCTACTAAGCTGGCTTTCGTGCTTACCATTTCAAATTGAAGAAAGTGTCTCTTTCATTGTAGTTTTTATGAGTTGTGAAATTTACAGTTTATTGAGTTAGCGACTTTGTTAATGAACTTTATTCTACGTGGCAGTTAAATGTTTCTAAATTTTTCTAGCTTCCGTTGAATTCCTAGAGGGTTAGTTTTATGTGTTTCTGTTATTTATATCGTGCAGAGGGAATATTCTTACTTGATTTTATTTAAAATGGATGGAAATAAAATTACTCCTGTTTCGCCACTTATTCTTCGTCTTATATTAACCATTTTGAAGGATGGAAGGTCGCAGGCGGTATTTCGAGCAACCAGAATTCGAGTATGGCGCATAGCTCAAATTGCAGACTGCGATCCAGATTTTATTTTTCAGTTTGAGTACCTTATGTCGAAGGAGTTATTTAAAAATATAACTCTACGGACAAGACAGGTAGCTCACAAAGACTCAAGTTCTTTAATGTTTTATACTAAGTTATCGTTCCATTCATCTGTTGTTTACTTCACATATACTATGATGTGCAACTTTTAGGCTGTGCTTCTTTCTTTGATTATGCAATCGTTTGGAGCTGAAATTTTGAAACATCCGAGACTGGCTAATGTAAGTTTTGAATTCCCATTAATTTGTAACTGTTCTACATGTTTTGTTTTCCCCCGCTGGTACAAAGATGTTATAAGTGATATTTACCAGTAAAGCGGTTGTGGAAAAACAAGCTATATTTTCTATTTCTTGAGTGAAGAGGGTCAGAAGAAAAATAAATAGTAATTTTTTGTAATCTTGAAGTTGTTAGTGTAAATTCGTACAGCTTTTAAAAGACTAGGTTTAAAAGTTAGGTTCTCTTGCTTTGGTGCAAATATTTCCTCAGTGTTCCCCGTCCTTCATCCTTTTGCTGAATGAGTTATTTTCAAGCTCTGGCTTTTCCTTTATTTCTCTAAAAGCTGAGGGCCTGTCTTATTTCAACAGATAAATTACTTTCTTTACTCGGATGGCATTTATATTTATGTTTTTGCTACTCTCAAACAAGACTTTATATCTTCTTCGCCTGTTATTCCCTGTTTTCCAGTACCAGTACTTGGATGTACGTTACATGAAGGAAGAATCTTCAAAGTCTACTAATAATCCGGTGTTAAAGAATATCTAGAATCTGTCGAACATTTGGCAGCTAACAGTCGAAATTTTCTACTGATTTTTTTTGAGTTCTTACGGGTATCCTCTCATAAACTTTAGTGCTCCAATAACAAGAACTTTCTTAGAAGAATTTATTGCGAAGTATATCTGTAGTCTTTGTACCTAATTCTGTGATTTTGAAAGATAGAAATATCAAAAAAAATTTTCATTTTTACTCAAAAATTCAAAAAGGCTGTGCAAAAGCTTTCATCTA